ATATATATATATATATATATGCCTATTCTCGACAGTTGGTCCAAATGAAAACTTCGACCATGTTCGTTATGTTCATTAAGAATAACTCCTGTTACATATTTGGAGAAACTAAAAACACTCAGTGCAAATTAAGCGATTACTTAACAGAATTCATATATTTACATACATTCCACTAAATGTTTTTTAAGATAAGCTTCGAATTTATTAATATTATTGTGTTAATCCATTCGGAACATATCTGTAGTTTTAGATTACTTTTAATTTATAAAAGGAAACACTCGGTTGTTTCAGTTAAGCATTTAATTTTTAAGCATAAGAAGATTAGATCAAATTTCTGCTGTAGTAATGACGTAATTAGAGTATTTGAACACGGTTGAACTGTTACATGTAACTGGGTTCTTTTTAAGTAGTTACTTATGTTACTCATTCATGTGTAACGATGCTAGTTATCTTAATCTTGAGTGAATAAGTGTAAAGAGGGGTTAAATATTTTTGTCATCTTATTGAAAGTCATCTTAACTGTTAATCCGGTATTAAAATTCCACTTTTCTTGTTTTTTTTGTTAATACCGTTTATATTATTAAGAGACATACTAATACACCAATCAGTTTTCTAAATTGTCGAGGTATACGTTCTTATTGCAGAGGAAACACATCCACCTTACGAATCCCTCTTTATTTATGTGACATTGTATGACGGAGCTCGTCGGAAAGGGGGGTCGCGCACCCCAAAAGCGGGCGAAAATGGAAGAACCCCACATGAATAACGCCACGGGTGTCGAAGTGTACAGACCATTGCCGCCAACACCGACCACCTCCCTCAAGATGTCCTCGATGGAAGAGGAGAGTGTTCGTGACAGACTGAGGACTTCCCTTCTGAAACAGTGTTCTGATATTCTGAAAGCTGACGGCGCTACGCGATTCACTCGTGATACATTTAGGAGGCTCTTTCAGGACAAGGTAGGTAGGTCCGTCGGCGGAACGCGGTCCGACACGTAACAGTCACAGTTCCAGTTCCATGTTGTGTGGACTAAACAGTTGTTAGATGTTTTGGGAGTATGAAATTACTTTCCTGTTTTTCTTATTCCTCCACAGATACTGGGTAGTTTGAAGCCAGTTCTATGGTTACGAAATTAGATTGACATTTACGTACACTCCTAGGTCCTTTGTGTATGCAGTGTTATTGATCTTACCTTACCAACCAACCCAACCAAAGAAGCTAACTGAGGGCAGAGGCCTGCGCAAGCGCAAGCATCGTCCCTACCTAGGTGAAACCATTCCTGCGCACAAGACGCATTGCTGGAAATGGTAAACGGTCGTAATATAAGAACGGAAATTTTGCTAACGCTAACGGGGTTTCGTCGTGGCCTTAAAGTTATTTCCGTTAACAGTGCAACAAATTTCAAGTATGCGATTTCTCTTTTTCCTTTTCCATTCCTTCTCATAATTAATATTTCTGTCTGCACGCGAACGAATTGACAGAATCTTTTTATTTATTTACTTAGTTGAGATTTCTATACAGAGGCTGTGTCCACTTAACACCGGGAATTTGTAGAATCAACTAGAACAAAGTTATCCATGTTTGGAAAGCTCTGCTCTGTGGAATACACTAAAATTCCGAAGGCGTGGCCTGAAGAACTTTGGCTAATCGCGAGCGTTTCCAGCAGGGCGACTAAGGAAATAGCAAATGCGACAATAATATCAGAGTTAACAATGTGCAATAATGTGTTTCGATGCAATTGTTGCAGCAGTGGCTTCTGTTTACATCGTTATTACTACCACGTGGCACTACAGCCTTTTTGTAGGGCCTTGGCCTCCTTAACGAGTTTCCATTCCGATCTATCTACAGCATGACGAGTTCTTACGAATGGATTTTGTTGACCAGCTGAGCGACTGTAAGCTAGTCAAGACTGAATGTACTCCATGGTGTTAATTACTTTTGAATTCACTTTCCGGGATCATGCTTCTGAGATATTAAAGTGTTAAGCATGACTGATCACATCTACTTTCAGAGGTAAAGTCAAAGAGACCGGTATCAAAACGATATAACCGGTTCGTTATCTGTAAAATGTTTATTGCAAGCATAACACCCACTTCTGCTCTACACGGTACATCCAGACGCCTGGAAAACTCTTAGCTAATTCGGCCTGTAATAACTGAATGGGAGAAAGCTCGCCTCATGATTCTATTTTGTTTTCATTATTTTTAGTTCCACTTGCTCACAGAACGGCATGCGTTTGCAACGATTATTTGCAGACTTCTTCGCTCTCAAAACAGTTTTATAGGTAAACGATAAAAATATGTCTCGTAACTGTTTTCGTCTGGACTGTACTACCAGCAGGCCAGAAAGAATTTTACTCGCATTGTATAAATAGTTGTGATAGTCATTGTGAAACTGTTTTAATTTGCCAATTTAAATTTAGTTTCTCCCTTCAGTGCTTATACCTATTATGCAATAGACACTGTATCTAAATTTTAATGCGATGCCATTAATCGAATTAGAACTACAGTAAATTTTAAGTTTCATTACAGATTCGCCATGAATCATTACGAAAAGAAAATTGCAAGATTAAGTGTAGAAGATTGTTGCTAACGAAACGTCCCACTAGACGTTATTTATATAAAAACACGATTACAACAAACAGAACTCGTACTCATGAAAACGGGGTGGAACGTATTCAATAAATGAATGTCTGCTGTGCATTAAAATCGCAAGAAGGTAATTTAATCCCTTTGTGCTACTTTTGTTTCACGCTTGTCTACTTAGGGTCGGTTAAGCTGATGGAACTTTCATGATTGTATCAGGTCTTCACACACACCACATCTTTTGAAATTTAATTTGTTTGTACATATGAAGGATGATCAATTCTGGAATGATGATATACACAATATATTTAGTACGGAAGTGGTTGTGCTGGCGCCAGTCCCATTTGGCACTTCTTACGGCCAACATGTTGTATTATTTATGGTAGGGAATTAATAGGGCAGATATGGGGTGGCTTATAGAGGCGTGACGATTGTACCAAGTTTCGTGAAATCTGTTGTTTGGAGGACAGGCACGTGGGCATAATAATATTAGAAATTATACAGGTGTTTTAATTCCCTTTCAGCCTGAATGGGTGGTCAAAACAGTTTCTTGTGTGTATGTAATTCGATTTAGTAAGTCTGGATAGCTGAGTCAGTATAGTGATTGCTTCTGTACTAGACGGTTGGATTTACATTTCCGGCAAGTTCAGAGATTTTTCTGTCCCTCACAACGACCAGATCAGCTCTGGGGCCCAAACATCCGCCTACCCACTGAGTGCCCGGGGAAAAGTGACGGGAGACTGGAAGCTTTGTCCAGTCTACTTTTGGAGGTAGGACCCATTAAAGAAATTGTAAAGAAAGACATACGAAACTACGTTGGCAGGAATCTCGTTTGGGATTCTGTTTAGAGCTTCAGACTCTTGATGCGTGCTTTGCAGTCGAAGGTTCACCTGTTTTACTTTGAGAACATGGAAATGTGCTGATACAAATTCAACGAGACAACCAGTTGCTATCAATTTCTTCAGTAATTTTTAATTGAAGAGTGGATTTCATGTGAGCTGAGTACGTCTGCAGCAGTTTGCAAGATTCAGCGGGCATATTGAGTGGTTGTGGAGGGTTATTGTTTATTTTTCCTTCTGTCTGTATCCGCAATTGCTCGAAAAACACGTCGAGGCTAAAATACGCTTCCTCCCAACTTGAGTAGTCCCGCAGTACAGGCGTGTCAGAGAAGTTGCCGATCGATCACGGTGCCTCAGCAGCCTTGTGGCAGAAAAAAAGGCGCGAGATAGTGACACAGTAGTACGACTTGACTTAACTTAACAAGTTGGTAATTACTTAGCTGGTCAAGTAGGTTTCTCACTGCGATCACATTTTGAGCTATTTATTTAAGATCCATTTTAATGTTATCCCACCATCTACGCCTACGTGTCTCAAGTGGTCAAGTTCTTTTACATTTTCCGACCACGACTTTGAATACATTTATCATCTCTACCATGTTTGGTGCAAGTTCCGACAAGCTCGTGTTTCTTCATTCTTTCTCAAACATTGTTGCACTGAAGAGCACAATTCATGAAGCTTGCCACTGTGTCACTTTCCTCAGTCTTCTGTTTTTCTGTCTCCCGAAGATCCACATGTTTGATAGCACGCTAAGACAATTCGTATTAGAATATATAACCGTTTCTTCCAGGAACGTGGCGTCTGAAACATTTACTCTTTTTAAAATTTACTGATAACGAAAACTCGGGCTTCGAAGTTGAGAGATGACGTTACAGGTTTAATCAGTGAAGAAACTAAATATTTGATATTGTTGCGCACTGAGACAGTTCAATGTAGTGGAAAAGCCCTAAATCATAATTATGAGATAAGCAGTCTATATCTCGAATTTCGACTCAGTGTATTACCATATTTCTTACTCGTCGTTACATTACCCCTACAGTTTAAATACCGTCGTTAAACAACATGGACCAATTATGTCGTCAGTGTGTCTTAATAAGTTTGTAGGTCAGCACCCTGTTCTGGTTCTTACCAAACAAAAAACATATTTATTTTTTTAACTATCTTTTTTACAACTGACGCTTTAGAAACAGGGCGCGAAATTTTAACTGAAACAGCCTGATTCAGGTTAGGTCTACTCGCAGACTATATGTAGTTTGATGACGACATTGTGGTGCGATGGAAATAGAGCATTTATTCGACCAGCTGAATAACTACGAATTTTCCAAGAGGGGCGCTACAGATTGTTTCTAGTTCAACAGGCTTTTTTATTGTTGAAATTTTCAAGTACTCCGCTATAATTCTTGTGCACAGTAGTTGACTGATGCAAGACGTAAGATGAAGCAACCGCTCCTGATTAATGGCCCATTGAAGACGTACAGATAGCGATTTCACGTCTGCTTAAAGTCAGCGTGTGTCTGTGTGAAATCTCTCGGCAATTTACAGATCGTTACGTCTGTTTGAGTGAAGTCTGTGGAGAATTGATGGAACATTAAGTTATAGAAATAAACAATTACTCTACATAAAGCCTCTGTCTCTATAAACCAGCAAACCAATAGAGTTTTGAGTATCTGGTCTGCAAGAACTCAGAACTGCAAACGTTTTTAACCTGGTACGGAAAATTTCTCGATATCAGGAAATCGTTTGCTGGTTACTGGGGTGGGCGTAAATGTTAAAATCCCGGGTTGACGAAAGTATCAGTTCCTAGTGAACTATATAAAATTATTGTCTGCTATCCATTTCGTCTTCTTTCGGAAGCATCTGAAGGCTCTGAGGTTGCCACGTAGCATATTTCGTTGTGCTATGATTGATTGTTAACACAGGATATTCATTATTTATTATTATTTATTTAGTATTATTTGCTGGAAAGGGACTGAAGCCTCTTCGAGACTTGTACTACGAGACATAAGGATAGGATACGGATCAAGAAGTGTCTTTGTTCCTTAATACGTTTATTGCGAAAAAGTGAAATAACACGTGGGTTAGTTGTTTTTATGTGATCATTATTTGACAATTGAATCATCATCATCAAGGACTGGTTTCATTGCGCTTTTCTTGCTGCAGAGTTCAATATATAATTCGCCCTTCCATCGTTTCACGGTCTACCTCTTGTTCACTTCCTTTGTGTGTACTGGTAGAACAGTCATCAATTTTTTTTAAATCCATTTTTCCATGTGATGGTGGAATTTGTTTTATATTAAACTATTTTGTCTGAAATGGTAAACATGTTTTGTTCTTGTCTCATCGCGGGTTTCTGATATGGTCGGATCTCCTGTAACCTACTACAGTCATTAAGAATTTAATTTTAGTTGGTTAAATTTGACTATGTTGTTACTTATTTTTATATAATATCATTAAAATAATGAGGATTAAGAATATATCATAAGTATTTAAAGGTACCGATTTGTTTAATTGGTTTGTCATCCAACCCAATTTTTCTC